AGAGGGAAAAACAACAACAGTCTGACTTTTAAATAACACTTATCAGCGTTTTGAGAATGTATGAGTAATTTTACTGATTACTTTCATTTAGCTGTTCTAACACGCTGCTGAACTTACAGCGTTGAGGTTGTTGGCCAGCGGCTCGTCTTCACCGCTCAAAGGAGAGGTCTGGTCCTTCAGGAGGGGAACGTCTTCCTGTTCATCATCATCACAAATCCTGGAGCCCAGAACTCCTTCCTGAAACATTAGGAAAGGAGAAACAGAGACGTCCACTAATGTGAAATAGGCAAAAAGTTTAAATTTATTCCAGCATTTATTAGATTTTATTGACTTTATTTCCTTTAAGCTTTTGTCACACCTTGACGATGTAGCCAGCGTATGCCTGACGTACGGAAAATCTACAAAAACGCTGCCATACGTTGGATAAGTTATGGGTACTTTTTGTACAAGTTATGAGCACGCTGACTTACGCTGGCACAAGTTGACATAAGGCAAGTATGTCATACATGAGGTATAACAATTATTAAGATAAAATGCCATCAGAACGCTTATAATATCAAGTGTGTCTCAGAAAACTTAATTACGATTATTAAGATCGTTGACATCCGCTCAGTATCAGTTCCTCATCAGTCGTGGCGTCTAGCTGATCCTAAACCTCTGAGTAACTCGTGCATAACTTCTGCGTAACATATCAAGAACTTCTCTCCAACGCATATCAACGTATCTGGCGTGTTCCCGACGAGCGCTGAACGTGTTTCTAACTTCCAGCTACTGTATAATGGCGTATTGGCAGCGTTTTGGTATAAAGGGGGTTCACAGGAGGAAACCGTCAGTTCTCCTCCAGACTTCATCCCCATCATAGGGTGAGCCAGAAGGTGAGTGATGGATCATCCCTGCGTTCACGCCCACCACCAACACACTTCCTAGCAGACATGACGCTCAATCTGCTGCCACCTTCTTTCTTTCTTTTTCTTTTTTCTTTTACAGGCAGTAAACAGTAGCTAGGTTAATACCGCAATCAAATAAATCTTATGCAGACCGGGCGCCTCCAGGTGTATTGCTGCTCCTGAGGGGAGCAGCTGTAACTAATGTTCTGTAATGCCCATGAGATGATGAATAAGCATCATTTCATGGGCATTACGCTGCCGTGCATCATGCATAACTTAGGCTATCTTTGGACATAAGTTCTGGACTCGTTATGAATAAGCTACGTATACGTCAAAAATTGGAAAAAAGTGCATATAAAGTTTAGCATATGCCAGCGTTTTAGAAGATTCTGGGACGTCAAGCATATGGTGGCTAAATACGCAAGGTGTGACAGGGCCCTATGTGACCTTTACCCAGCAGAAGCCATCCCCCACAACGTATCACACTTTAGTGTCTGATGAACGAGGAAAAGAGATTGTTGCATGCAGATGGTATAGAAAGCATCTATAAAGCGTACAGAGCTCGTTCTAAAGCCAGGGAAGGAACGCAGCGTTTTATAACAGAGGAGAGCATAAGCTTGTCACCACTGATGGAGAGCTGTGACATTATGGGATTATAGGATGTGTGAACAGAATCATTTTGTTGTGACTGACCTGATGCTAAAGGTTTGGTTTGAACCTAAATAGTGATGTCAGCGCTCGCTGTTCACAGGTTAAAAAAAAGAAAAAGAAAGATGGATGAGATTTGTTTGGATTTTACTAAAGATCAGAAGTGTAAAATAAAAGAAGTGGAACATCGGGCATACGTTGGCTAAAGGTGTGATAGGGCCCTTAGCTGGGTGACTGTATCATAACAGTCCAGTAGGTCAGGGGTCTTCAACGTTTTCCAGATCAATGACCCCCAAACTGATGGTGAGATGGAGCGGGACCCTCTAATTATATATATATATATATATATATATATATATATATTA